GTTTTAATTACGAAAACCATGGACTCTAAGGGGGCGTTTGTTTGCCCTCACTAAGTTGGACTGGACTGGACTGGACTAGCTATTAGTCCAATACTATGTTTGTTCCATGCTGGGACTAATATTAATGAGACTAAGGGGGACTAGCATGGACAAAACCCTTCACTAAGAGGTCTTAGCGAGACCCCCAATAATCATGGGACTAGCTAAGACTATCCTCTCTTTCTCGTCCTTGTCATGCTCAACGACCACTCTCAACAGACTCCTCGTCATCTCCGGTCACCTAGATCAATCATTAACTTTCCAACTCTCTTTCAGATCCATTTCACAACCAACTTTCATACAAAATATACCAAATTGAAGCTGGGAGTGACAAAATTACGATTTTACCTGAATCGAGGCCAAAATGTGGTCGAATGTGGCTGGAAAATGGCCTGGAAGTCTCGGCCTGTTTGGGCTTCTTCAAATCCATGACAGATTCGAGCATTCAAAGCTAAGATCTCGGTCCAGGGATGGTGATGAATTTTTTGACGGTGCTAACTTCATCCAATTTAACGAGGAAATGGTAGGAAAAAATGAAGAAAAAGATAAGATCATAATAAAATATTAATAATTTATATATTAAATAATATAATATTATAATTTGTTATTATCCAGCTTCTTAGTCCAATACTGCACCAAACGCTTCACTAAGTTAGTCCAGCTTAGTCTAGTCTAAGCCAGTCCATCTTAATCCTTGAAGCTAATCCAGTCCGAGATAGTCCGGCGCAACAAACGCCCCCTAAAGGTTTTAATAATGAAAACCACCTAAGGTGGATAGGTGATGGGAAAGAGCAGAGGTGTGGTGGACAGGTTGATGGTTTTAATAATAAAAACCACCACATAGTGGGCTTTTTATATTTTAAAATGTTTGTTATATATATATATATATATATATATATATATTGTGTGTGTGTGTGTGTAAATCTTATATAAATTATAAATTATATAGAAATTTTTTTTTTTTCCAGGCAAGCATATCATATATGTACATAAAATATTCACATATGTATGTTCTTCTATAAGAAATAACATATTAGCCTATAATTATTTACATTTGATATACTAAATTTAATTAATTCATAAAATATATAAGAAGTTTATCTAAATCCGCCTAGGCGCCCGCCCAACTAACGCCTAGCGTTTTTTAGAACCTTGATTTAAACATGTTTTGGGTCTCACTAGCATATTTTCACTTATTTTTTTAGTTTTCGGCTTAAATATTGTACTAAATATACATTTGTTATTTAATCAATCATAAAACCGCTTCCAAATGCGTTATAAAGTTTTCATTAATGCTCACGCAAAATATTTGGAAAAAATACAAAATTTGCATTTTTCACAAAAAACGTGGGTTAACACTCAAGATTTTAAGTCGATTTTACAAATTTGTATATAAATCATTGTTCAGACTATTTATTTTCACATTCGCCTCACCGTGAAGTTTCAAAAACTAAAGTAAGATCTTCTGTTGATATTCTTGAGGGTGGAATCTCATTTTAACAATGTTTTGAGCCTCACTACTATATTTTTCACATATTTTCTTTATTTTCGTCTTAAATATTCTGCTAAATATACATTTGTTACTCAATAAATCATAAAACCAATTTCTAATGTCTTATAATGTTTTTATTAATGCTCAAGAATTTTTAACACAAAAAGGTGGATTCCCACTCATAGTTTTTAGTCAGCTTTACAAATTCGTACATAAATCATCGTTTAGACTATCTATTTTCACATTCGCCTCACCCTGAAGTTTTGAAAATTAAACAAGACTTTTCATTGATATTCTTGAGGGTGAAACCCTATTTAAACAATGTTTTGAGCCTCACTAATATATTTTCACTTATTGCTTTAGTTTGCATCTTAAATATTCTAGTAAATATACATTTGTTACTCAATAATCATTCCAAATGCCTTATAAGGTTTTCTTTAATTCTCACGGAAAATATTTCACAAAAATTAAAAATTTACATTTTGACAAAAATCGGGCATTAACACTCACGATTAAAAATCGATTTTGCAAATTCAGAATAAATCATCGTTCATTTTCACATTCGCCTCGCTGCAAAATAGGTAAAAATTTTGGTATAGTTTGCTTTAAAATATGATTAAACCCAACCTGTATACATAGTAGTTCAGAAATACTTGACAACAGAACATCCCCAAAAGGCTAAGACCCTCTATTACAAGCATGTTAGTTCGGAGCGTGAGTACTAATGTGCATGCGACAGTTAAAGTATTCATAAGAAATTTCTAGATGTTTTATAGATACGCAGATGGATTTGTTACAAAAATTCTACGACAAGGGTAGAAGTGTGTCAAAGCTGTTTGCCAGTCTTTGACATCCACCAGATCTCTGCCTTTAGGTCCCGAAAGGAGACGCAAAACAAGAAAAGAGTTGAGTGGACAAAAAGAAAGTTTTCTAAATCATTTCCCTCTTTTAACATAATAACCTCTTGTTGAAAATCCGTATTTATGAGAAATAATACCATATCTATACATGCATAGATAGATAAATACTACAAAATCCATAGTAATCATCATGTATCTCAAATCCCAAAAATCATGTATCCAAATTCGTAAATCACCATCATCATAAAGCAACACCATAATCATAATAATCGAATCGAATTTTCTAGCAAAGGTGATGTCTTTCCTCGCCGAGACCCATTTTCGCAGGTTTGGCCGGAAAATCCACTTTTCCAACGAAGGTGGCTTCTTTCCCCACCTTCGATCTGCCTGGTCTAGTGGTTATTCAGAGATACAGAGGTGACATGTGTTGCGCTCGACGAGGGCTTGAATTTTGATATAAGATTAGTCGGAATCAGTGTTCGAATGAAAGATATGATGATCTGAGGTTAGGAGGGCAAAGCAGAGGAAAAACAAGAATAGTAGCTTCCGCACGAAGGGAAGAAGAACAGAGTCGATTTGACTTCTAGAAAGTTCACCTCTAACTCACCAAATTGCCCTTTAATTTGAAAAATTCGTAACTTTATTGTTCGAACCCTGAATCCAAATATATCTGCTCACATGTTCTTAACAAGGAGTACTATTTAAATAAAATACAATATTAGCTACCAAGTGTTTGGAGCTTGAAGGTCCCACAAATACGAAATTTACTCTTTTAGGGGCATTTTGATCATTTTGCAATAAGAAAAAAAAAATTTAGAAGAAAAGTCGAGGACGGACTGTAACAATCTAGAACTCTTAAGAAATTTTTGACCCTAAATTTCCAGTGTTCTGAAAATCGACCTAGGCGCTGGGCGGTGAGGTGCCGACCCGATTGGGTGCCAAACGGTTGACAAAATCGGAGAGTTGTTAGGTGCCCGCCTGGACACTCCTAGGCGGCCTAGGCGGTGGTGCTAGGTGATTCTCCCCGTCGCCTTCCACATCCAGTCACACCAAGTAATCACATATTCATCGAGAAATCTGACAAGGAAGGGAGGGAGAGAGAGCGAGAGAGGGAGAGAGATCGTGCAAATAGGGATGGAGGTGAAAGGGTTTATCTGCTGAAGAGAAAGGGATAGAAGAGAGTGCATATAAGATTTGAGAGAAAAATGAGGGTGCGGCTAATGTTTTGCTAAGGTTGGTAGGGATTTTTTTATTATAAAAGTTTTTGACAATTATATCAGGCCCAACATCTTTTTTAAAGAATAAGGCCCGACAATTAGTAATAACTTAAATTTAAAGGTCTCAACAATAACCCTAAAAGTTTATGATAAATATTTATTTTTGTATGTTTTGCATTTTATATACAAGCATGGTTTTTTAAGTGTAAACATGCACTTATTTATATATTACATAACAAATTTATTTAAAAAATGCAAATCCACCTAGTCCGTCTAGGCCCCGCCTAGGCGCTAGGCGCTAGGTCGTCGCCCGACTAGCGTCTAGCGTCTTTTAGAACCATGCAAATTTCTAGAACAGACTACTAAATGAGTGGGATATTGACCATGCATATGCTCCTCAATCTCCCAAGTAGCCTAAACCTCATACATGGAATACATCGTGCACCCAAGATAACGTTTGTGGGGCCTACGCACTCAACAATCTCATAAGGACCAATATATTAGGAGCTTAGCTTACCCTGTTTGCCACATCTAACACCACCCTTCCAGGGTGACAATTTCAAGAACACAAATACACCAACATCATACTCACGGTCCTTAAAATGCCTGTCTACTGGGCTTTTCTACCTGTCTTGGGCAACTTTTAAGTTTCGTTTAATCACCTAGATTTCCTGTTTAGTCTCGTCACCTAACTCTTGCCCCTCAAGTACTCGTTCACCCACCCATGTCCAACATGGAAGAGTTCAGCACGTTTTCCTATACAATGCCTCACAGGGTGTCATATCAATGCTGGAATGATAACTGCTGTTATAGGAATTCTATCCATGACAAGTGTTTATCCCAATTATCTTTTAACTGAAGAACAAATCCTCTCAGCATATCTACCAAGGTTTGGATCGTCCTTTCTGATTGACCATATGTCTGTGGGTGAAGGGTCATAGGGTACAGTAACTTTGTACCCATAACAACCTGAAATGCTTTCCATACCCAAAAGTGAATCTTGGGTCTCTTTCTGAAAAATGGAGACAGGTAGACCATGGAATCTAATAATCTGGTCTATAAATATATCTACTAGCTTACTCAACTTGTAGTTCTTTCAACAGCCAAAAAGTGATCTAACTAACTTAGGAAGTCGATCAACAATTATGCAAATCTCATCACATTTCAAGGAAGTGGTAGGTAGCCCATTTACCAAATCCATGGTGTTATCATCTCATTTCCAAGATCGAATTAGGAGTCTATGATAATCTCAAGGGTTTTTGCCTTTCTACTTTTACTTGTTAACAAATCAAGCATTGATTCACATGCTCGACTATATCCATCTTCGTCTCTGACTAGTAGTTGTAAGGCTTAATAGTGTGGTACATTTTTCTACTGTCTGCGTGCATAACATAAGCTGAATTAGGATCTCTTCTTTAATTCACCATTCTCCTTTGGTACAAAAAGTCTGCTACCCATCATCAAAGTCCCATCTTTGCTGACAATGAGATATGTTCTCATTCCACTGAGGACTTCCCCCTTTAGTTGCACACACTGGGGATCCTAATCTTGAGCTTCTCGAACTCTATTGGTAAGAACAAGTCTAACCTAAAAATAAGCTAGTAAGGCTCCTTGATAATCTACAACGAAGATCACACACGTGCTCCTCAACTTTATTAACAATGGAATATAAATTGCACGAATAAATGTCAATTGCCAATATGATTTCCGACTAAGAGCGTTGACCACCACATCAACTTTGTCAGGATGATACTCAATGGTGCAGTTGTAATCACTAATCAGCTCCATCCACCTCATCTATCTCATATTCAATTCCTTCCGAGTGAAGACATACTTGAAGCTTTTGTGATTTGTGAAGATACGACATGTTTCTTCGTAGAGGTAATGTCTCCAAATCTTCAAAGCAAATACCACTGCAGCTAACTCCAGGTCATGAATGGGATAAATCTTTTCATGGGATTTAAGTTGTTTGGAAGCACATGCAATGACTCTCCCATGATGCATCAGCACACAACCCAAACCCTGTAAAAGAGCATCATTATAGATCTTAAATTCATCACTCTCATTAGGAAGTGCCAACACAAGTGCATGTGTGAGATGGTATTTCAACTCCTGGAAACTTCTCACAAATTACATCCCAAATGAACTCTACTCTTTTCCTGATCAACTTTGTGAATGGCAAAGTTATAGCAAAGAAATCTTCACAAAGCGCCATTAGTATCCTAGACCAAGAAAACTTCTAACTTCAATCACATTTTTAGGTTGCTCCCAAGCTACAATTGCAGATACCTTCTAAGGATCATCATAAATTCCCTCAGCTAGAATCACATGGCCAAGAAAACTAATATGACTCAACCAAAACTGGTACTTATTGAATTTAGCATATAATTGTTCCCTTCTCAATGAACAATTACGAAGCGATCCAACTATGGTCTAAATGCCATGTTCATTAGATCCATAACAAGTCCTGAATGTTGTCTTGGGAACATCCTTTCTCCTAATAAGTAACTGATGATATCCTGATATTAAATCTATTTTAGAGAATACATGTGCACTCTTAAGTTGATCAAACAAATCATCAATACAAGGCACGGGATAGTGACTTTTCACTATCACCTATAGAGTTGTCTCCAATCAATACACAAACTCATACTCTCACCCTTCTTTACAAAGAGAAAAAGAGCACCCTAAGGTGAAGTGCTAGGTTGAATAAACCCCTTACCTATCAAGTCCTGAAGTTGAGTTTTCAACTCTCTCTACACAGCTAGAGTCATTCAATATGGTGCTAAAGACATGGGATCAGTGCTTGGAACCAAGTCAACAGTGAACTCAACTTCTCTCTCGCAATAACCAAAGTACATCCTCAAGAAATACATCGGGGTTAGTTGACAATAGGAACATCCTCAACTCTAACAGGAGAATTTTCCTTCATCACTCCACAAGTCAAATGTCCCTCACAACCCTTTCCCAAAAGCTTATTGGCTCTCAGTGCTGAAATTAGACTGTTCTGAAGAATTCTTCTCTCGCCCTAAAAAATTATGTATGACCTCCCAAGTGTCCTAAGAGTGACTTAAGTGTAACAGTCCACCAAGGAATACTTTTTAGATAACCAACCCATTTCTAGACTAAGGTCAATGTCAAGAATAATCAAATGAATGAAAACAGCCTCCACCAGCTCATCACTGATGAAAACTGGACAACCCTTGAATGGGAATTCAAATCCAAGAGTTGTTGCTTATGGATTAACTTTTCGGGCAAACATCAGCGAAATAACCGAATGCGTGACACCAGGATCAATTAAAACTCTAGCTAAGTATCTAAAAGCATTTAACGTACCCACAATGACATTGGTTGGTCTGCGCATCCTGTTGGATTAGGTTGTACAATCTCCAACCTGCCTGTCCACCTGTGCGACCCCCTCGACTCCTCTGGGGTTGACTGCCACACCTAACTATACTAGGCCCTGCTACTAGATGCTACTCCAATACTTTGATTATGTCGATACTTATGTTGTTGCGTACCCGCATTGTAGTCTACTCGCTGAACTTGTACAAAGCCTATACTCTTTTCATGTTTCATTAAGGGATATTCTCGCCGCCAATTATTTATCTAACCACACATGTGACATTGAGAAATGCCCCGTCTACAATCACCATCTTGGTGTTGTCTAGATCGTCGACAATACAGACAACTCGCACTACTAGCAGTACCACCAGACTGCAATTAGAGAAATGAGAACTACCAGACAACCTCCCTCTAGATTGTGGAGTATTAGTGCTAGAACTGCCACTAGAAGAAGTAGAGCTCTGTCCACTCTTCTTGAATGGTCAACGATCTCTCAAACCTCCCACTGAAAATCTGCCTCGTTGTCTGGACCCAGATCAATTGTAGCTACTACTACCAACACCAAGATTAGCAAAAGCTTCTATTCTCAAGGCTACCTGAAATTCCTCATTGTAAGTCCAACAAGGATTGGATGTGATAGCCATTCTGATGTACTCATTAAGTTCAATATGAAATGAGTAAGCTACTCATCTTGGTCTTTTTCTATGGCAAGGCAATACTTGGGAGTTCACTGTACTTCCTCTCATACTCCGACACTCATATTTCCTTGTTGGAGATCCAAAAATTCTCTTTTTTTTTTTTTTTTTGTGGTTATTGAACTCCGGAGAAAAGAACCTGACTTTGAAATTAGTTTTGAAACCATAGTGTTTCAAGGAAGCATACGCATTTCAACATTCCACCGAGATCTTGCACTCTCGATGAGGAAAAATGTGGTTGTGGAAACCCAATACTTCTCAAGGCAGTTATTCATGGTTCGCAAGAGGTGCACCATTTCCTCCAACCAATTCTCTGCTGATCTCCATCACTTGCCCCATCAAGGGTCAGTGCTCCCATCCTACATGCTATCTCAGGGAAGGTACGACCACCATCCTAAGACTCTGAAAGCCCTGTGTAGTAGCATCCCTAACTGATCTAAGCCAGGAAAACTATATGGTGGAGTGACTGTTTAACGTCGAGATGGCATTGCTCTGGCAATAAAACATAAGATTATTTTGCCCATACGACACTATAAGGTGCATGATTTCAGGATTCCTAAAGCTATGCTCTCAGACACGTCCCGACCCGGATATCCATCTGAATCAAGTCGTGTTGGCGGACACCTATAAGGTGATGCAAGCCAAAACATGCATAAAGTATAAGAATTAAAAATTCAAGTAGGGCCTTTCAAAATTTTGATGTAGTTTGCCTTAAAATATGATTAAAACCAACCTGCATACAAAATAGTTCACAAATATTTCACAACAAAACATCCCTAAAAGGCCACAACTAATGGGTCTCAGGCCCTCCACTTCAAGCATGTTCATAGTTCAGAGCATAAGTACTAATGTGCATGCTGAAGTTAAAGTATTCAAAAGAAATTCTAGATGCTTCATCCATGCACAGATGGATTTATTACAAAAATTCTATGACAAGGGTAAGGCTCCTTACATTTTGGAAGTGTGTCAGAGCTATCAACTAGTCCATGACATCCACCAGATCTTCGCCACTAGGTCCCAAAGGAGGCGATAAACAAGAAAAGTGTTTGTAGACAAAATGGAAGTTTTCTAAAATATTTCCCTTTTTTAACATAAAACCCTTGTTGAAACTCCGTGTATATGAGAAATAATATTACATATATACACACATAGATAAATACTACAAAATCTGTAGAAATCATCATGTATCTTAAATACCATATCTTGTAGTTCCAAATTCGTAAATCATCATCATCATAAAGCAACATCATAATCATAATAATCCAAAGCAACACTTACACCAATGGTAATGCAAATCACATGCCTAAGTTGGAACTCAAACCAAAATGATATGTACCTTGCCGGGACTCTAACTGGAAATGTAGACAATTGAATCCATAATAAGAAACGAGTTGGGACTTTAACCGATAATATGAATAAGTTGGGACTCTAACTGGAAATGTAGAGAATTGAACCCATAATAAGAAACGAGTTGGGACTTTTACCCATAATATGAATAAGTTGGCACTCTAACCCAAAATGTGAATAAGTTGGGACTCTAACCCACCTTGATGACTCTAACCCAAATATGAATGGAGTTGGGCCTTTGACTCAACTATGGGACTTTAACACATAATGAATGTCATGACAATAATGTATTCTATGGCCGTAGGAGAAAGATACTATAACATAAGTACACGTATACCAAGTGGTGTATAAGATCATAAATCCAACAAGGTGGATTATGCATGATCATGCCTATTAGTGAATCCATCATCTCATAAAACCAAATTCCCACAATAGTTTGCATATCCAAAATAAAACCATAATTCTCAAGTATGAAGTATCCAGTATCAACCATAATCAACAGTAAACCACGTATAGACTTGATCACAAGTGTAGTCAAAACCATTCGAAATCATTTGCAATTATACATAGATATATAAGAAAACCAGATATAGGCATGATCATAATTATAGTCAAAACCATTCGAAATCGTTTGTGCTTATATAGAAATATAAGGAAACCATTTTATGAAAACAAAGTCCACTCACAGGAACTCCGCTCTGTCCTCGTCGTGAGGAGGATGCTCTCTTAAGTGTCTAGACTGTCTGAAGGACCTTGCACCTACACAAGCCATTTTCACTCAGAAAGTATTCAAGATAAAAAGGTAATTTAATTTGGACAGATTCTAATGACTCGGTCCTCTAATCTCAAATTTATGTAATTCTCCGCTCACAATTTCTAGCATACAGACCCCATCATCAAAACCACACGAAAACCTTAGTAATGTCGAGAATATTTCAACACATAACCTACCCACTTCCATACTAGACCGCAACTTCTAAGAATTACTTCATTTCCCAACAATACAGCAAAGTACACCATTTATTAAACCTAGTTGTTAAACCCAAAATAAAAGGGACTAGGGTTTTTCGTATTTTACCCAAAATTCGTCCGTATTCATGTCCTAACTTGCAGCTGAGCTTCGATTCCTCGTCCAGTCAACAAATCGAGTCTAAACTTCAACAAACAACCACAATTAGAATTAAAACCTTGAATTTCGAAAATTCTTCAGAACCCAAAAGTTGAAATCAAAATAACCCACTTACATAGGTAGAAAGCCCGTGAGGAGAGGATCAACTTTATCTGTTGGGCCGAGACCCATTTCCCGTCAGTTTGGCCGGAAATTCGAACTTTCCAGCGAAGGTGACTTATTTCTTCGCCTTCAATCTGCCTGGTGCAGTGGTTGTTCAGAGATTCAAAGGTGACAAAAATGTTGGGCGCGACGACGGCATGAATTTTTATATAAGATTAGTCGAAATCGGTGTCCAAATGAAAAAGATATGGTGGTTGGAGGTTAGGAGGGCAAAGGAGAGGAAAAACAAGAACAGCAGCTTTGCTGCTGCTAGCACGAAGAGAAGAAGAAAGAAACGAAGCAATTTGGCTTGTAGAAAGTTCAACTCGGATTTACCAAATTGCCCTTTTTAACTTTATCATCCAAAGATTCCAAACTAATGAATTTAAATCTGATTATTTAAATAAAATAAAATATTATCAACCAGTGTCTTGAGCCTGAAGGTCCCACGAAAGATAAAATTTACTTTTTTTTAGGAGTATTTTGATCGTTTCATAGTCAAAAGAACTATTTTACGATAAAAATTAGAAACGGATTATGAGACATAAGGTTTTGAAATTTTATGTAAACATTTTTTGTTGATATTTGTGTAGTTGGAGTGCCGTTTCGGCAATATATTGGGTTGCATTACAATTTTTGTCCATTTAACATTCAGTTTTTGGGCTTAAATATTTATTAAAAGTTTATTTATGGCTTGATAAATGATAAAATTGGTTTTAAATGCATTTTTTTTAAGTTTTGTTCATATATCAAATTAAATTATTATTTTATTATACTATTTTCTTTTCATTTTATTTTTATTTTTTAAACTTAAAACGAAGCCCAGCCCTTCTTTCTGGACTATTCCTGATCATCTTCTCTCACTCTTCTCTGAAACTTTGTATATCCACCTACTTCTCTTCTCCATCATTCTCTCAATCTCTTTTTTTTTTTTTTTTTTCTCGTTTCGTTGATGATAAATTTAAAAGAAAAAGTAAACAAAAAGGATTGCTGTAGGGAAAAATTGATATTTATATTTTAATGGATCTGGATTCGCAAGATTGATGCAACTTCCGCTAGACAGAGCGGTGCTCGTCCTAGTCTTCTTTCTCGTTTCATTTTAAAATCGGCGGATTCCAAGATACTGTGGAAATGAAAGAGAGGGGAAGGGGAAGAAGGGAGGAGCGGATTTTACCTTAGGCCTGCAACTCCGTTTGCAGGTGTGGTGCTGGACTCCATGGACTTTCTTTTTCGGGATTGCAACGAATATTCGAGAGCTCTTGTCTGAGCTACGGTGCGAAATGGAGGAGGACAAGCGGCGATGCTCTTATAAATGACAAAAATCAACCTCACTTCAGATTTACGTTTAGGTTTAAACGCCAAATCATCAATCTTTACATTTGGGTTTGAGGTTGAGATCGTGAGGTTTGTTTCTGGGTTTGGTTCCCAGGAAAGGGAAGAAGGAAGGCTGAGCGGCGAGTGAGATTTCAGGTTCCAGTGAGACAGGAAAGTTGGAGATTTGATAAAAATTTAATTAAAAATCATTTAATAATGAATTAAAAAAATATTTGAAACTGCTGTCAAATTTGACAGCAAGGGGAAGAAATGTTATTTCACGTCATACCACATAAGATTTGGAGTGCAAGTTCAGTGTAAATAGAGGCTCAAATGAGTTAGGGGTGAGGATTGGAGATCATGAAGTATCAAATAGCAACAGCTTTCGCTACCTAGGATCTATCGTGCAAAAGAATAGAGACCTGGATAGAGACATCAACCATAGAATACAAGCGGCGGGATGGATGAAGTAGAAAAGTGCATCCAGCGTATTGTGTGACCGTCGCATGCCACTGAAGTTTAAGGAAAAATTTTATAGGACGGCAATAAAGCTAGCAATGCTTTATGACATAGAATGTTGGACGGTGAAGCATCAACACGTACATAAAATGGGTGTAGTGGAGATAAGAATGCTTCGTTGGATGTGTGGGCACACGAGAAATGATAAGATTAGGAATGAGGATATCCGAGGTAAAGTACAAGTAGCCGAAATTGAAGGAGAGACGAGAGAAAATCGGTTACGGTGGTTTGGACATGTGAAACGAAGGCCTGCTGATGTTTCGATTAGAAGATGCAAATATGGGACAGAGGTTCAAGGCAGACTTAGAGTACTTGGAACTAACCGAAGATGTGACACAGAACCGAGCGCAATGGCGTTCTAAGATTCATATAACCGACCCTACTTAGTGAGAAAATGTTTTTTTGTTGTTGCCACATCAGATTTAACTGCTCGGTTAGAAAACATTGTTGATGTCTTTTCTTACCTTTATTGCTAATTTAAATACTTTAATAACTCATTCGAATATGCTTTTACATTTTAATCATGATCGAAAATATTTTACGAAAATAAAAAATTTACGTTTTTTTCGAAAAAGTATGTGCTGTTTACTTTTCAATCATGCATTGCTTCTGTCTAGATTTCAATTTTGTGGTTCTGTTGATTCCGCCAGGCTTTCGGGTTTGAAGAGGATGAATTTTGCCATTCGATGTTGGCTGCAAATCTGTAATTTCAAAAAGTTAATAGTGATGAGTGTACCACACAAAAATGTCAATTAGACATCCGAAAAGCTCCATGTTTCACCCCAACTATCCGGAGGTTTATGCTGTTGTTTGTAGGCAAATCTATCTTGATTGGGAAGGAAAAAAAAAAAAAAGATTCCCTCTGGTAAAAAAAGTAGTTCTTACCTTCCTCGTCAAAGGGAAGAAAACCCAAAGATATTATTCACATCGTATCCTTCAAACGATTATTGATTGCATGCTCTACAGATATTAGCACGCAAAGCCACAAAAACTACCCTAGTTCTAAGCACCAAAACAAAAAGGCTACAAGTTTAGCGATGAAAATCCCCCATAAATTTCACCTCTAATATCCCAATGAACCCTCACGAGGAATCCCAAAGCAGCAATTATAAATAAATAAACAAAGTATACAACTGTAAATGCTAATATACAAGTACCCCGTCCACTGTTATTGTCGTCCAAAAAGATCCTCAGATTCTGACGGGATATTCAAGCGCCCATTCAAACAAGATTGATCGTGAACGAAACATATGGATGTGCATCCACATCACCTGCTAGACCAGGCACCCCTCCGCCGACTTCATCATCGGTTTTCCAGAAGGTGCTGCGTTGTTAACAAAAACATCAAGGACATAACGTAAGAGAGACGCGTTAAAAGCACACAACATATCACACAAGGTATCTTAGTATGGACTTCAACCTCACAATTGGTCAGTTATGTTTTATGGAAGAGGTGAGGTTCTCCCTTCGTGTGCAACTAACATAAAGAAAGCTAATGGACTTGCCTGTTGCCACTGTCACACAACCCTTCAAGGATTGAACGCACTTTCTTCTCAGCTTTTGTAGGAGGGGCTAATACACATGCCTGAAATTTCATTTCAATATCCACTATTTAGTCAATAGTAGGTGCATGGTGGTAAACCAGTGACAAAAGATGAAACCTATTTACCAAGAAATTTGGTGGTAAACCATATCTCAAAATGCTCTCTGTAAAGACACGTACGGCACAAAAATGCATCCAGGAGCTGAAAACCTGCAGGCGAGAAATCAGTGCATTTTGTTTGAAATTTTCAAAATCTGTCATAGGAGGGCATGCATAAATGATACGACAATAGTATTAACAGTTGATGATAATAGTACAACAATTCCTCCAAGAACAATTCTGGTAAACTCTAACCGAGGGACAAAGAGAGCAAACAGCAGGCATTATGCATGCAGGCTACTTAAATTAGGCCATCAGGGTAACCTTTGATTTAAGATTACTAGACAGACATCCACAATTTAATAACCCCAACTAACACAACATAACCCAAGCTGCCACAATTTGGCTACATTTTTATTGCTTGGCCAGTGACATAACTATGACGAAAGTAAATTGAGTGAAACAAAAATTACCTCCCCATAACTGGTATAGCACCACTGCAAAAGGGAGCCTCTTAAATTTTCTTGGTCTTGCACCAATTTTTCTAACTCCTGCTTTCGACTTTCTTGTGCTTCAGAACTGTATTCAAAATCACGAATCTGAACCACATGATAAAGAACCACAAGTCAGTTATAAAACTTCTCGGAGGGTTAGAAAAGGAATTGGGATATTTGCACCAATCATCTACTGCAGTTACATTTATCATGAACAGTGATTTGATATTGCATGAACTATAAAGGAGATTCACTTTGGCAACTTTCTAGGAAGACCAGAACAGCATGCACAAAAAACAAAAGTACTCACCTGGAACCCCTTTTCACGAGCACTTGTTCTAAAGTTATCTGCGACCCGATTAAATAGTGTTACAGTGTAAAGAGCATATTCATTATCTTCAAATAACTTCTTGGAGGACCTTGGAACCTGCAAATTGCTTGACATGATTAATGAGACTGAAACAAGAAGGCTGCAATAAACATAAACAAATTAAGTCCTAGCTGTTATTGCAAAACTTTGCAAGATAGGATGTACAAGTTCATCAACTATCTCCAACCAACTGCAATAACCTAGTGTGTTAGTAGCAGCTGAAGTAAAAAGCTATGGAGGAGGAAAATCATACCACATAGTTAGTCAGGGTCTCATAGCTTGATAGCCAGTCCTTCTGAGAGTACTTGGGAACAATTGCAAGGAGAGTCACTAGATGTTCTGAAATAATGATGTCCTCTGGTTTCACTAAACCAGAAAGATCACGGACTGCTAAACTGAAAAACGCCAAGAGACTTGTTAACCAAGAATCGTAATGAAAGCGGTCATACTACTGCAAGCGTTAGAGTTAAAGAATAATTATACCTTCCACTCTGCTTTCGATTGATAGTGTTCAATTGACTGCGGACATTATTATACTCGGCTACTCGAACCTAACAAAGAGTCATAAAATGGTGATTTATTTTTCTGGGAAAGAGTCGGACTAAATATATAAAATTCAACTTATCATTAAGTTATGCAACTTATGCTAAGGGGTGAGTCTGGAGAAACTGAGAGCCATTAATTATAGTAGTTCACTTCTCCGGCAGCAAATATCATTTGTTATTTCAACAAATTGCGTCATTTACCAACAACAGCTTGAGTCCTCTCATCACAACAGATAAATGCTTCTAGTGACTAAAACTTATTGAGTATGTACAGTTTATCACTCCAATAAGTTTATCAAAAAACTTGCATTACATCAAAGGCGAAACTAGGCTGAAGGAAAAACGTGGAGCATTACCTTGAGATCATCCTCAATCTTTGCAACTTGACCATGAATGCTGTCTACAATCTCCTTCAAAGGCGACATTGTAGGGTACTTGGCTTCATCCCAAACGAACCTACCATAACAAAAACCCCAATTCAATACTCACAGGCAGTGACCACACATAAACCAAAGCACCACACCTCAAGTTCATAATTGATCTCATTGAACTGTGAATTAATACCTGGTGAGGTATGAATCGACAGGCACTCCATCGACAGTCAGAGCGCTACTCTCCACCCCTGAAACCCTCTCGAGCTCCTCGATCTGGCGCCTGATCTTATGAGAAACACCCTCTACAAAGTTGTTGGACTGCAAATTGCCAAAAATCACAAAATATAAACTAAATTGGCAGATCGGAGCAAAACAAAATTGCATTACAAATTACATTTCAACAATGATAAAGAGATCACTCTTATTCAATGAGATTCCAATCGGATAAAGATAAGGTGTCTGAAAATTATCACTGAAAAAAGATAATTAATAATACATTAAGCTACCAAACAAGTTTCAGAATTCCAAATTTATTAATACAACAAATGGGAGAATACCTTTAAGAGATCGTCGCTGAGGGAGAGAAGAGAATCCAGGGTTCCAACACGGAGATTGGGAATATTGAACTGCAAAAAGCGATAGGGGTAATTAAATTGAACAAGAAGAGAAATGAATTGAAAAAACAAATCAGATCAGATCTTGCGAATCAGAAAGAAGAAAGGAAGAGCAAGTACTCTGTAGAGGGGAGTGTCGAAGGAGTGCTTGGAGATTTGTTCCTGCAGACGGTTCCATAGAGACGACGCCGAGTTTTGAGCCGGCAGAGACACCACCCAATACCTGCTCGCCATTCAATCAATCTGCACACCCTTCTCTTCTGCTTCTTCTTCTTTTAGCTCTGTGCGTTTGCTTCTCACTCCTCAACAATTCTCTCTCTGCAGAGTGCCGCCCCCCCTCCTCTTGTTTTCTGTATATTTCTATTTTTCTTGTTTTAATTCCTGATTTTTTTTCCTACCAAAATTATATATATTTATTAATAGGAGTAATATAAAACTATTAAAAAAAAAACCCGGTAAACCGCACAAGAGCCCATAGGGACCCGGGCAAGACAAAAACAAAAGCGCCCACCGTGGGGCTCGAACCCACGACCACAAGGTTAAGAGCCTTGCGCTCTACCAACTGAGCTAGACGGGCAACTTGTTGTTGGCTCATATTATTCCTGTAATCAAGTTGTTTTTTACCGAAACTATGGTGTAATCAACAGTTAAGTAAATTGCACATGTTTGCAGTTCATTACTTGATTGGATTATCCTAATTTCTTAAGCAAGGCTATTAAGAGATTCAACGATATCATAAATATATAAGTTGGACAAGTACAATATATGTCACAAGTTTCTACACTTGCCATTGCCTTTTATTGGCGCATGCAATCCGCTACCAAAATACAAAAGGTTCAAAAAACCGAGAGTCTGACCCATTTGGTCATTTCACTTAGGTGGTTACATATTTATTATGCTAATGCTGCACATATATTAGTTTATGCTAAAACTTAATAGAAGTCGTCAAGAGACAAGTTTTCAACAGATCCGAAACTCTCATGCAGAGACCCATTTCTGGAGTAGTTTGTCATCATTGATCCCCCGAAAAAATCAAGCAGCGAGTCGTTTGAGAAGGTGGTGGTGTCGTACACAAATGACATGCCCGCAGTCATATCCTCTTCCATTTTCGGCATGTAAAACGAACTTGAACTGAACTTGTTAGCCTCAGATTCCTGCATATAGCAGTCGTTCACCGCATTGTTCATACCATTTATGTCTCCGTATACATGATCTTGGTCATATGCCTTTCTTGCCTGAATAACCTGCCAATGCACGTACGGTCACGAACAATTTAAATTAGTATCTGTTTAAATAATGATCAAATCATCATGAACTGTATAATGATTTGTCACCCTACGTAATTCTGGTTGTGATTATCTTGGTAAACCATGATGTAATCTCCAAACTGTAAGCCATGTACATTAACAAAGTCACCTGAAAAAAAATTCAACATTAACAGACTGATAATTGAACATATATAATATATAACCAAATGTTTGATAAAAGGGAAAAGAGGGAGATATTTATACCAGTATTTTCAAGTACATACATTCGGCTGTTGTTATTAGGCCAAAACCTGATTAATTGGAAAAATAACAAAACATAGATTGATCTGCCATTAGAAATATCTTAAGAAATGACTTTTTCATGCATTCATAAATTGCTAGAAAATTGATCTGGGATTGAAAGGAATACAGAACTCGTTAAAGATATTGAGGAACTTCAAACCTGTACTTGAAGCTCCAAACATGCAGACCATCTATGTCATCCATGTTGATTGCCATTCCTTCCTTTGATTCGAGGGTAGGGAGATGAGCCTCGGCTGCTTTCTGCAATTAAGTAAACGATTCAGCATTGTCATATACATACATATGAACCTTTAGTATCTAAATTAGTCACCATGACACTATTCATAATCATATCATAGCCATTTACAAAAGCGATAAATATTGAGTAATTACCTTGGGGAGTATCATTCTTCTGAGAGGGCTCACATCACTATTCTTGAGCTCTTTTTGGAAAAGAAATCGCAGCCGTGTTGGATCAATTACCTGAAGCATCAAGATCCATTCATGATAACATTGAAATCAGACCAAGGCAAAAAAATATATGCATGAACAAACTTATCTTGAAACAGTAAGACAGCATATAAATATGCTCAAATTGCAACAACTGAAATAAGTGAAAAAGGTGCAATTTTTTCTATCATGTCATTTCTTGGACAACAAAATCAAATGAAGATTAGCATTAGCACAGTTAGGAACTTCAGAATCTACAATCCAAGCTAGATTAGGGATACTATATCAAATACGAATAAATCCAATGATGATTCACTCATCAAACATTACTATAACAAGTGAAATCGTCAATTCAAGGGTCTTTTAACTAAAAAAAAAGGTGAATTCATAAATCCAACGATTATTCAACTATACAATGTTCATATCAAATGCGACAAGTTATGTACTGTGGAGTATTCCCAACATCTATATTTTAGTGGAACATGATTTAAAGGGACTCATTTCGAACGTTAACACATACTTTAAAAAAGTGAACTCATAAATCCTACGGTTATTCAACTATACAATGTTCATATCGAATGCGACAAATTTGTCCTATGGAGTGTTCCCATAATCTATATCTAAGTGGAATGTGATTTACAGGGACTCATTTTGAACACATACTAAAAAAGGTGAACCCATCAATCCAACGGTTATTAATTTAATTATACAATGTTCATATCGAATGCGACAAATCTGACTATCAAGTGTACCTAGAATCTATATCAAAGTGGAACGGGATTTACGGGGACTCCTTTTGAACACATACAAATTAATTAGTAAAAGTTGCTCTATACGTCATGTAAGATGACATACATCGATCTATTAGTAGATTTATACAGTTGGTGCCCAACCTGATAATGCCATCGCATAGATTAAGTTCTTAAATATTAGAGGACCGATTCCATTGAACCAACAGCGTATACAAAGTAGTATAAAATTGGATAATAATTTAAAGAAGAAATTCCCCCAAGAAAAACATACAACTATGTATCTACATTGCCTTTGATTACTCATCCAAATCACAAGATTTACAAGGAAGCCGGAAACTCCATTTGAAAAAATTTGACACATCGATTAACTGTAAGTGGAAGGGTTATATATCAGTTATATCAGGCCAGTTGATCATGTGAAAGGTCAATCAAATCAATATAGTCCTTGTATCTCAAAATAACAATAATGTATCTCAAGATAACAACAACAACAACAACAACAATAATAATAAATGGAAGAAAATCAAAGAAAAAAAATACAAATTTACATACATCTGATGGAACAGTGTCAGATCACATGAACCGAAAAGTAAAACATCAGATTTCAACTATATAACAAAAGGGAGCATATAAATCGCAGAAAAATAATTAAATAAATAAGGAAAATATTCAATCAAATTTAACTGAAACAAAGAAGGGCAAATTTTGAAGAACAAATAAGCAACTAATACTAATATACGTGAGAGGTAGAGGGAATTAAGGAGGCTCACACGTCCAGGAGGGAGAGTGGAGGGCGGTGGTAGCACGTGCGAGCGGGTAGAGGAAGCAGCAGCTGCCGCGAAAGAAGGGAGGTCGTGAAAGTTGATGGTGGAGGATCGCCTCTGTCTGGTCATTCGTTTTTTCCTGAGGACACCGAAACTAGTCACAGCACGGACAAGGTCATGGATCGACCCGCTCCGATTCGACCCGTGAAAGGTACTCTTGTGATCCGCGTTATCCTTGTTCCCCTTGGCAGTGACAAGGCCGAGCTCAGCCCCAACACCTGCCCTCAAGCCAGAGGCCTCGGTTTTCTCACGAAGGCCTACAGCTGCTGCTGCCGCGGCTGTTTGGTCCATTAAACCAAAAGCAAAAGGGTTAAAAAGCAAAGGAAATTACTAGTACAGGTTGGACCTTGGATTTCAGAAACAGTGGCGGTGAAGGACGCTCGGCAATCGCGAAATGGGTGGGCTATCTCTTTGGAAAGAGACGAATATATATCTAGCTAGTGGGTGGTTGTGGAGGTGTGTGCAACTCCCAGCTTAATTTGCTACCTTTTTCTTAATTTTTATTTAATTTTTCTTATTTCTTTGCTATATTTGGCAAGGGTTTTTGGAGATTAAAGCTGCTGCTGCTACCCTTGATTTTCCAGTGACATTTGTGCAGCCTGCATTCAGTCATATCATGATTTTGCTCTCTTTTTCACATATTTTTAATTGTTTATGTGCAAATGGAGTTGTATGTATTAATAAGCGGTGGTATTTGGAAGAAAAAGTCATGTTTAGGGTTTAGCTATGGTGTTCGCAATTTACAAAAGAGGACCTCTTGTTCTGGGTCGGATGACAAATGTGCAATATGCGTTCATGGTTTTGTTTATTTTTATTTAAACCTAGCTAGCTAGTTAACTTAAATATCAAACCATGGTTAGTGTTGAGAAGTGTGGAGGGGATGGTGGGGGAGGGGGAGGAGGGGATAAGGTGGGTGGTGGTGGTAGTTGGAGAGTGGCCAACGGAGGAGTGACGGATGGACGGTGAAGACAGCAATGTTGGTCTGAGATGAACCTCCAGGTGTTGCAAAAGTTCTGACTCCCCATGCAACTGTGTAATCAATTCAATGGCATCTCTCTCTCTCCGCTCTCTTTCCCGACTTTCTCTCTTTCTCTTTCATATGATGAAAACCAGACTAGACACCCTCCTCTCTCTCTCTCTCTCTCTCTCTCTCTCTCCCGCGCAGAGGCGACCAAGAGAGTTTTTACGTGTGGTAGGGATGAAGGAGAGTTTCCGGTGTGATACTCATACCATGGACTACTGTACTTACTATTCACGCCAAGCATAGTGTATTAAAACGCACGGCTCAGATCGTTTTACTTCGCAAAATCTACGGCTATCTGATTAGGTGACCTACCTTGATCCTAATAAGTAGACCTCTGGGCTCCATCTGATTCCCAGATTTTACGCCACTTTATTTGATTCACATTTCTTTTTATTTATTACCACATCCGTTTCCACTTAAACTATTGATTTTTGTGTAGACATGAGCTAGAGGGGATGGACTTCCTTAAATCATTTTTAAAGGAGATGTCAAAATGTACACATTAATTATAACATTAAAAAAATACCAAACTAATATTCTCCAACTGAAGTGTCATATCCTATGTGACGATGACATAGATTGATAGCAAAAGAGGTTGCTATCAAATTTGACAATAGCTTCAAATGTTTTTTTATTAATTATTAAATGTATTTTTTAATTTTTAATTAGTTTAATCATTTATTATAATTAATGTTGAGTTGACCGATGCAATAATCCTGTTTTTTTTTTCTTTTCAATCAAGATGAACAGATTACTCATTAAACTTTAAATGTCATTTATTAAATTTTAATTAGTTTAATAATTTATTTTATAAAATAATAATTTAATTTGACATATCTCGGTTGAAGAACAAAAATTTTAAATATGTCAAAATGCCACATAAGCTGTCAAAATTTAAATTTTAAGTTCAAAATTTGATATCTCCTTTGAAGATGGTTTTATGTATTCGAATTTAAATTCTCTTCTTTATAATTTAAAATTTAATTATATGTAAAATATATTGAAAGTTTTGGAATATTATGGTTTAGACTTAGAGGTCCAAAAAAAATTTTACTCGTATTTTCAAAATTTGTAAAATTTATTATTTTAGTCGTGAAAGACTTAATTGCCTATATATCCAAAACAAAAATTGATACACCTTTTTTCAAAATTTCTCAAAGGCGCTTGTATGAAGAAAAAACTTTGGATAACATAGAACTCTAACTTGATTTAATGAGGTCTTATATTCGACTCACATTGAAGAAAGACGCAATTTGAACAAAACCTTGAGAGTTAAAAATAACTATAAAAATCATTAATGATTAAAATTAAAATGGTGATATAAGGAAAAAATATTGGCAATTAAAATGGTGACATAAAGAAAAAATATTGGCAATTAAAATGGTGACGTAAAGAAAAAATATTGGCACCATACACTGTATTGTAGACACCTTTCGTCTTTTTGCCGGTCATCACTCACTCCTCTTTTAACCTCAGCAAATATGCTTCCGCTGCCACTTGGACGCCATGCAAAATTGAGTCAAATGATTTTATTTTTTTTTTAATTTTTGGTCCGATAAATGAAATGATAAATTACAGCTCTTAAGTCTTAATTTAGGAGATAGTTGTCATTCAGTACTACGGTCTGATGATATTCCTCCTCACTTGAAAGTGAGAGTTCTTAGTTCGAATTTCGTGGATGACGAATTCGATACTAAAATTAGATTACTCATTGTGTGACTTAGCTGAACATCCTCTCCCTTTCGTATAAAAAATATTGATGCACTAAAAAAAAACTTAGGAGAGTTTTTATTGAATCCGGAATAAAATACGAGTAGTAGATTACATGTCATTATATAAGCAAAGGAAATTTTATTTTTTTAAGTAGTTAATTTTTAACAAAGGTATCTCACTACTAGTATAGTGACACGTGGTGCCCACTTCGAGTGCTAAGCACATTGAAAAATTTCTCTTTACTCATAGTCCTACACTCTCGAGTAAATAGTGACAGTAATTTCCGATTATGGCAATCCCAAGGTAACAATTGTATTAAGGAGAGTTTCTCAAACAAAACTATTAGAAGTTAGAAAAGTGAAATCCCTCCCAACGCATGGGGAGTGGGGGCAAAATCCACCATGTATGAACAAGAAACGCCCTATTCGAGCGAAGCACGGTGCAGACCTTTGATATAGAGAATGCCACATTACAACAAGAGCTGATGACAACGCAAGTTAAATCACAAGGTACACACTAACATACGTGATCATATATCCTAGACTCTAGTCCAGCTTCCACGACCCCTTTTACGGCTCACAAATGATGATTCAAGGCTCTAAGGCATCCCTCCATCTTCAGTTTTGCTAATCAATCCACCTTCAGCAACCTTTCTTCTTCGGCCTCCGCCTTCTTTGGTTGAGCGGGGAAGTATTTTATACCCACCAGATCACCAACCGTCCCGAAGACCTGAAAGAACCAAACCCCAAAACAATGTCAAGCCACAAACTCTCTCACATTGCAACTAATATTGCAACTGTGTTATAAGATGTTGCATATACTTGGAAATACATGAAGCCAGCGAATGGATGTCATATTGAACATGTTATACAAGAATTTACCTCCAAGGCTTTGATCAAGTCTTCCCTCGTATGAGACGCAGATATGCATATACGTGCCCTTGCCAACAGTAGCGGCGTTGCTGGAAATGCTACTGTCACAACAGCTACCTGTAACAGAACCATTCATTCAGCAGTAATTTAAATTGACCTAGAGGCAACAGAAAAATAAAACCATAAGAGGACAAATGTGGGGGAAGTATGGACGCACATTCTGCTTGAGGCACTCCCGTGAGAAGGCGGGAATTTTGGCTGGGTTGTAAAGCATAATTGGCATTACTGGAGAGTCGTTATCCCCCAAAACCTCAAAACCCATCTTTTGTAGTTCTGACCTGAAAAAGTTGCTATTCTCCCGTATCCGTGCAAGTTTTTGGGCACCTACAAGGAAACAAAAGCTCTTTCAGTCACCGTCATATAGAGAAGAAGCACTAAAGGCTAGAGATACTTGCACAATATCTACTAAACACAAGACATACCAAAGAAAACAGAGAAAAGAAAACCAAAGAGAAACTGAGGAGAAAGAAACAAGTATCTATCAGCACCTCTATTGGAACCATCCTCTCCAAGAAGGACCTTTATGGCACATATTATTTGTTGGGCAGCTGGTGGTGATATTGAAGTTGCATAAAGATGAGCAGGGCAAGTGTACTTCAAGTATTGGATAAGCTCCTGGACATAACATCATTGACCACGTTAAATTCAATACGGAGCTCATGAATTTTTTTTAATTACTCTGCAAAGACACACCACAATGTGAATAAAAGGATGGCACAAGAATCAAAGTGTTTGTTACGAAGAGAATATAAAAACTCAATACATGGTAATTTATCTATGGATCACATCAATGCATCGTGCAACGGAGAAGACCTTCTGCCAGAATCAAAAATTGCTTTTCAACTATGAGTTAGGTTGATCATCCATAAATGGCACTTAAGTAAAAGAAACTGACAGCCAGCCAGTCATATAGATAATGCTTAATTAAGTCTCTCCTATTTCAACGAATGCCTTTTCCACATTGAAAGTCTGGCTAGGTCACACCACGCACTGATTAACAAATTCGAAGTATAAGGAAAGTTCAAAAAACAAACCTTAGATCCTGCAATATAGCCACCACATGATCCAAATGATTTGGTAAATGTTCCCATCATGATATCTACATCAGCTGTATCGACTCCTAAGAGCTCACAAACACCTCTTCCTGTTTTCCCTACTGCTCCAATGCTGTGGGCCTCATCCAAATATGTATATGCCTAAGACAAGAAAGGAAGTTGCTGAGAATAAATACAAAAATATTCACTGTTCAGATAACAGTTTAGCAAGGTATTTCCCAATTTCATTAGAAAAGTAAAACAGTCCTTTGAAGGATAAAATATACTGCATATAATTAGGTGGCCAAACCACATTTATTGAAGTGAAAGCTACCAAGAAGGTGCAACCTTATATTTTTTGCAGATTGCTATAATCTCAGGAAGTTTGCAAAGCTCCCCTTCCATGCTGTATATCCCCTCCACAATGACGATTATCTTCTTCCAGGGTCTGCGGGTCCTAGGCTGCCCCTCTGCGATTTTTTCTCTCAAAACTTCCTCCAAGTGAGCAGGAGCTGTAAATAAAGCAACAGGTAGATATAACGGTGCAACCTCCAACCTGAGCTTCACATTTTTCTTTTAATTTTAATGAGTAAAACTCTATTCATGCTATCATCAACATCTCAGAAAAAAAAAAAAGAAGCAACATCTCGGAAATGTGTATCCGATCAACATCCCTTTCATTCAAGTAATCAATTAAATCCATACACATGAATTAACACAAGGACAAATAGCCAAAAACCTGATTATGAACTAATATTTCCTCAATGGCTTATCTTAGTGTAAAGAAAATATGATTCATTTAAAACCCTGAGACGTAGAATTTGATGCCCAAGTCAAAAGCTTCAACATCCCTTTCATTCAAGTAAGAAACTTACTATTGTGTTGGAAAACACAAACTCTAGCTCCAGATCCTCTTGCGCCGTTGACAATAGAGTTGTGGTTCAAAGAATCACTAACAATCAAGCCTCCCTGTAAAGTCAAATGGCACAAATTCAGATAAGGAATGCAAAGAAAAAGTTTAGAAGTCATAAATTTGAGAAAAGATGCAAACCTTCCCCATCAGGACAGGAAGGATAGCAGAGTTTGTGACATAACCCATTCCAAAAACTATTGCAGCAGGTTTCCCGACAAAATTTGCAACACACTCTTCCAGCTCATTATGCAAATTGGTGGTGCCTGATGATAGAAGCGTATCATGGTAAATTCATTTAGAAAAACAGTTCAAACAAATTTTCCTGCAAAGTAGTATTAGTATACCAACCACCATCAACTCTGCTGCTACAGGTACTGGGAGAATATTTTTTCAACGTCTCAATAGCGCGAGGCGTGCAGTACTCATCGGATGCAGCAAAGCCAAGGTAATTGTAAGATCCTAAGTTAAGGCATCGACTAGTTTTTTTCGTCAGCCTGCATTAGCCGAAATACAGAGTGAGGACATAAATCAAGAAAACATAACAACAGGATTCATGAAATTACAAAAATCGGAGGAGATTTGTAATCTTTACTTGAGTGTTTTGTTGAAGTCATTGGAGTAGCGTTCAACCACATCAAACCAAGCATCAGGAGCACTTGCAATAGGTCTATTGAAACAGTCCTGACCAGTCAAAACTTTAAAAAATTAACCAGCAATTATCAATAATAATGTTTACGGGACTCCATGGATTTCATGTTTAATTGCAGAAGCAGGTGCATCCACTTCATACAGCTCAAGAAATACAACGCAATCTTTCACCCCAAAAAAAAAAAATTATATATATATATATATTATATATAACGCAATCAAATCAACAACAAAATACCTGAATTCGAAGATAAAGCCGGCGAATATAGAAATCTTCAAGTCCTAAACAGATTGGAGCATAACCCTGCTTCTCGCAACAAAACAATCCTTTTTTTTTACGTAAAATTACAGGAAAAATTAAAAAAAATGGAAACAAAATTATGTCAAATGATTACGGAACCTGCAAATTGCTAGCACTCCACCAGTCGATGATTTTGCGGAAGAAATCTCTGACTTGGCCGAAAACGAATAGCAATCCATAGCTGAAGTACGTGGTTAACGCGGTTAAATAAGGGATCGCAATCATTTTTGCGGTGGGATGATCGTATGATCCGAAAGCTACGTCGTTTAAGCTGTGTGAAGCTTGGCGACGTGAATTGGATCGGAGAATCTGGGAGTTGCGGAGCTCTGAGCAGGAGTTTCTGAGGGTGTGCAGATCAGAGTTGTGGCGTAGATCCGGTATTTGAGTCGGGTTGACCCGTTGGATGGGTCAGACTCGGACGGAGGGAGAGGATGAGGGGCGATGGGAGCAGGATCGTCGTGTCTAGTCGTCCAATCTGTTTTTGGTGCCCCACTCTTTGGATTCAATTCAGTGACCGCGTTGGCGCTGGCGAAAATTCCGAGCCATGTCAAATTGTGAATATTTTACACTTTCCAGCTCATTTAGGAACGGCGGTCAACAATTTTCCCAGCAAATAATAAACAATGAATATTATTATGTGCAATTTTAGTGGGAAATGAAGCTGAATGCTTTACTATTTATGTGAAGAAAAAAAAAAGGGAAATCTCCATTTTCATTTAAAATAAATTGTTGCATTTGGTCTCGTTTATTTCACGTTAAATAACAATTTGTAACTTTTTTTAAAGACAACATTGTAACTGTTAATGTTACGATAATTTAATTCTAAAGTCGATAAAAAAGGCAATAAAATTAAGATTTATTGTACTGTTGTCATTTTCGACCAAACAACTATTATGTTAATCTTTGCGTATTGAATATGAAAAATAATTAGTTTCAGAGTGGATTTGGTACCACTAAGAACTCCACAAGACAATAGGAGAGGAAGAAATTTACCGACTACTGTTAAATTAATCTTTGAGTATTGAACATGAAACATAATAAGTTTTGGCATGGATTTAGTACCACTAAGAACTCCAAAAGACAATATATGAGGAAGAAACTTGTTTTTCCATTTCCTATAGCGGATGCGATTTAAATTTCTCTACAAATATAAATTAACATAATAAATGCAACAACAGTTTAGGAATACTTTTATTCGTTGTAACCGGAGGATATTAGGTAAAATTAAGAAATTCTAGGTATTTTAGAAAATTTAAATAAATAAATATTATGAAATTTGCTAACAAATAAAGCCCTAAAAAAATTAGGAGTTACTAAAACCGGGCGAAATTTCTTCGTGCCGCCAGGCGGCGGACCTCTCGTACGAATTGAGATCCCTCAAGGGCCTCAACTACTCCCTCTCTTCGTGGCGTTTTAAAACCCTAAAACTCACCATCCCAAGAGCTCCAATCTCTCTACCTGCTAACCTCTCACTAAAGCCAGTCCTTCTGCAGCTCACTCATGGCTGAAACTAAGGACCAAGGCGAACCCACATTTCCAGCGAAGCGCAAACCCGATCTCAGCTGCGGTGACCAGCCCGACTGCCCCAACAAAACCCAGAAGCTTGAAGTTCCCGATGACAGTCCGTCGGCTGCCGAAGCTAAAAGTCAAACCCCAGAAAATTTCAAAAACAATTCCTCCGCTGGCGAAGAGAAAACCTGTAAGTTTGAAGCCAATGCTGACCTTGAAGACGAAGACGAGGAGGAAGATTACGAAGAAGAAGAAGAAGAAGATGAAAAGTCTAATGGGAAGGCGGAGATGGATCGCAAGGGGAAGGGGATTATGAGAGATGACAAGGGCAAAGGGAAACTGGTAGAAGAAGATGACGACGACAGCGACGATGATTCGAGCGACGGCGGAAGCGAATTCGAAGACGGAGACAGCGATTTGTCGGATGATCCTCTTGCGGAGGTCGATTTGGATAACATTCTTCCTTCGAGGACTCGGAGACGGCAGGTGCAGCCTGGAGTTTACATTGCTAATGACAATGGAATGAAGAAGAAGAAGACGACAGTGATGACAGCGATGATTGAGTTGAGGAGGAAGGTCAGTAAAAATTGACATTATGTTTGGGAAAGTAGTATTAGTAGTAAGTGATTCGATGAGGCTATGCTAATTAGTTGCTGTATGCGAATACATTGCGGCCAAGGCTGTGAATATTTTATGTTACTCAATCCAAGTATCTTCCTTTTAGTCCTTATTGGATTTTATCATTTCGTCGGTATTTTCCTCCTTCAAGTTCAGTTTTGAAGCGTGTGTGCATGTGTTATACTTTAACATGGCAGAGTAGTGGCTACAAGCTGTAATTTTAGAAATCATGTGTGAAAACTTGACCAAAACTCGCTGTGAACTTTTTGTTAGGAAGACGAAAGTTTTGAGAGCAGAGCACAAACATGCCAAACTTTTGAAACAAAGAACTTTTCACTTATTTGTGGAAAGGTAATTCTCTTTGCGTTGACTGGGCTAAGCCTCAATGTATCCCCCTTTCTGAAGTTTTAGTGATTTCTCCCCAAGTCCCTATTGGGGATTTCCGGGTGTTTAGTCTTACTATTTCCACAGGCATCGTTAGGCTTTAAAGCTGGACTGTCTCGCTGAAGAGTTTGCCTTGGCTAAAAATAGCGAGCTCACTTCAAGGAGGAAAGGGGGAGAAGATTCAGTAACCCATAGCTCTAGTTAAGGAAGTGATTTATCAACTGGCCTTTAGAAGAACATCACTTGCCTATGCCAAAGTAGCAGTTCTGACGTAGGTTACTGGGTATGATGCTATGTGCGATTATGTGATGTGGTACAGGCCAAATCACATTGTAGTTCTGAAGTTTATATTCATACAAGTGGATAATCTGTCATAGGGTATCATGTCTATTATTATTGATTGATCCTTTTTCCCATCGCATGGAAAGACCATTACTTGGAATGGTCCACTGGAGCAGGGAGGACTGATTTTGATGTGATCCTAACCCGTAGCATTCTGTTTCATTTAAATCTACTTAATGTGGCCAAATCTTAGTCTTTATAATGTCTGTAGATTATGAATGGTGTTGCCTATGTGGTCATTCTGGATCTGGAAGACTTCAGTGTCGGTAATATACGCATTGGTTATACCTGCATAGGGAAATTTTGGTACTTATCTGCAAGGCTGGTGATTGTTTGCTACCTATCTTTATGAGGAATCGAGGACCAAGTTCTATTGTCCCCTATACGTGGTGCCACTCTGGAGACACGGTTTGTGACTACCTGTACTACATGTTTTCCGTTCTACGTTGGTTGTATAAATGTTGCTCTATTTCCTCTCCTCTTGCTTTGGCTGACACAACATATGGGGTTAACTGGAGATAACCATGTCTTAGATTTTACTGGTGGTTATGCACATATTTGTGGACCGGAGAGGTGCAACTTATACGGTCTATGCTGCCCCGCTTCGTCTATCTATGCAGGTGGTCTTTTCCTGTTTCTTTTCGTTTTTTCTTTTGGTCTGAGATGATTTTGTATTGAAATGATTTCCGTACAGTCATTTCCTTCTTTTGCACTCTCCTTTTGTTTTCATCCGTTGATTCTCTTTTGATTTATTCAGTATTAGAACTAAAAAGAAAAGAGGAGTGCAAGGGAGAAAAAATGGGTGTGGAAATCATTTTCGTATGTAGGAATGCCCCCAACTTGGGCTTTGGCCCATAAGTTGGGACCCTTTCACTTTGGTGGACAGAAAGCTGAAAAGGCCTAAAAGCAAGTCTTAATCTCCATATCAGGCCATTAGCTAGCGATCCGAAAAATCTGCACCTGGCTGGACCATCTGTCGTTCTGACAGACGTAATGAATTCAACTCCCACTCCATGGCCTAGCCGTTGTCAGCCGTAATTCTCCTTCTTCCTTTATCTTCCAAGAGGGGAAGGGAAGATGACATCATCATCATCATCATCATCATCAACGACCTAGCTAGCTATTAGCTAACAGTACCAACAGTTATGTGGTCCTTTGTGTCTCTCTCTTGTTGTCTTGTTATATGGATACTACGTAGTTTTGACTGGAGGCCAATACCACCACCACGACCACGACCACCCATTCATATTGTCTGGGTTTGCTTTGGATTACTTACTATCAAGGCACGGTGGTGGGGACAGATACTTGTAGCTTCTATATCACTTGCTTGGGATTGGGACCAGGTTTTCTAATTTACGCGACAATTATGCGTAGAGTACATTTGAGGACATCTTCTAGTTATATATGATATGCCTTGCCCCTCTCGTCTCAGTCGCTTTCAGCCTGCTTTCCACCAAACGTTCCGAAAAAAGGCGGTACCAGGACCACGTTGCACCTTCAATTCCATGCGTTATGATATCGCATGCCCTCTACCCTCTCTAACCCTTTCTAGCCCTCTCTACCCTCAATCTTTTTGTTCAAATTTCTTTCCTTGGATGCCAAAGTTTTGTACAACTATAGAGCACGCTACAGACACAGACACCCGATAATTTCTTATGTTTGGAAGCACGTATAGGGCACCAGACACAAGTGGTGCGTGGACCAAAATATAATGGTTTGATGTGTTGTGTGTGCGGTCTAATGGTCACAAGATACAGTCGTCTGCACTCAAGAATTTTTCCTAACACATACTCTCGTAATCAAACTTAATTACTCGATCTACAATAAACGAGTGTCATTTGAAACTTTGAAATATAAAAAATAAGCGATACTCTTATCGCCTTAACTAGGTAGTTGTCTAAGCTTGATGAACCTCACATGGCTGCAATACTAGTTAATGATTGAGAAAGCATATAGAGAGGAAGATGGAAATGATCATGAAGTGTGTTAAAAGTCATATATATAAGTTTGGTGCCTTTCACCTTCTTGAATCATGTATGATATATTATTGTCCTAGTCCTTGTAATTATAATTATAATTATATGGGAGTGGGGCTACCAATTATATTTAATTATGCCCCTTTTGGCCTAACCACTCCCTGCTTTCGAATGCAAATTACGATCCTCTGATTGGATGGTTGCATTAAACCAACGTCAGCCTTGTATTACGTATTAATTGTTATATGTTTTGTGGGAGGAGCAGTAGTAAGTACAGTTGTAGGCTAATGCCAGACAAACATTTACAGCCTAGAAACTACTCTGAATAATGTTATATAATCTATAGAATTTTAACGAAACATTCCTAGTGCTGTTCATTTTAACGAAAAATAACATTTTTACTCTAAAAAATCATTTCTAATACTATTCACTTACAACATATTTTTGTCATTTTAATTAAAATTCAAAGTTTTTAAGTCATTTTCATTAATTTTCCTTATAATCTATCTATACATTTCAGTTTATGAGGAAACTGAATTCTAAATGTCAGTACATGATTAGAAAAAAATAATTTCAAGTGCTCGTTCAATTATATAATAATATATAATTTTTTTATGTGGGTTAATAACGTACTGTGATATATTTATTATTTAGTAGGGAAGTGAATTTTTCATTCTCATTTCCTCTTTTGCACTTCTCGGTTTCTTTGTATCAACTCATTATGCTTTGGTTCTCTCAATTATAAAGCCAAATGATTTTTTTTCCTTTGAGAGGGCGTGAAGAAAAAGAGGTTGTGAAAATTACTATACTATTTGGTATTAGAAAAAACGATAATCTTATCATCATTGGTTATATTTTGATTCATTTAGATTTTTTAACTAAAATGGTCCATGATATTAACATAACTCCTCATTTTGATTCATGAGATTTAAAATTGATAGAGCTGGTCCCTTAGTTTGTCTACCACCAATCATTTTGGTCATTCTGGAAAAAATCTTGGTACAACAAAATAGTTGTAAAGAGATTTTTCAATGTATCAGGAACTCGATCTGGTACACCAAATGTAATCAATTGGTTGGAAACTTGATGGTATTATTTCCACTAATAGAGAGAGGATGAGTTTAGTCTCACAATGAGCTAACAATAATATGGTTCAAATTCGCTTTTGACAAAAATCGAACCTAAGATCTCTCACTTACAAGTGAAGATGAATACCGCTAGTTAGTTGTATTACCTGGCAATTTCAAGTAATTGTATTATGACATTTGATATACAGAACCGTGTCTCTACATTGAAAAATTTCTTAGAGTTGTGATCCATCTTAGGATATTGACCAATGAACTAGCTATACGTGGCGGCCAGGAAGTTGTCAATGCCAAAAGCAAAGGGATAACAAGTCACAAAAGAGTATGCCCACCACCACATGGCCATATAAAGCTCCTCATTTATCCCTATCGAAATTCCTAATCATCTTTTGCTTTGTGGCTTGCCTTCTTTCTTTGTAGCTCACTTGGAAAAATTCAACGCAAGCAGATAAAATTTGGAAAACAAAGCACTAACACGCAACAGCACATCATCATTTGGCGTCAACATTTGACCTTCACTGTTCACACTGCAGACATTCATAAATAATTAAAACAATCATTGGAGATTTTCTATATATATATATATATATATTTATATATTTCTCAAGTACAAACATTTCTCCCACCTTTACTGTTCACAGTTCATAACTGATATTTTTTGCATAATTTTTTATAATGATGTCAATAAAATTGACGTTAAAATGTAAAATGTTAGAGAGTTCATAGACAATCTCATTTTAAAAGAATCTCCTCAACATTTCTCTTATTCCACTACACTAGCTTAGCTTCCATAATTGTCACCCTAAAGATACCTATTCCTATGGTACCATTAGCTAGGTACATAGTCCCATAGTCCCAAAGACATTCAACAACGAACAAGCTCATGGTATTTAGTCCCATAAATTCATCATTAATTTATAAAAAATAAATTGATTGGCTTTCGTTGAATCATTTTAATACTTCATAGCATGAGCTGTATTATAAAATTTTTGTTAAATGACCGACGCTTGTATTATAAAATTTTTGTTAAATGACCGACGCTTGAGAAGTAAAGAGTCTAACAAATAAGAAAATGTTCTTAACCACTTAAACTCGTAAATTTTTTAAGCAATGTTTGGAGTATCAATTAACAATAGTTTTCGGTCAAGAAAACAAATGAAACAACAAAATCAATAAAAGAAAATGAATTATTCATTTTAGATTTTGTAGTCCTTAAGCATGACACGTTTGGAATATTGGAAACTTCTATACGTGTAGTTGAGGGGTGAGACTTACGAGCATATGATTTGGGAAAGGTTATGGCAAATTACAATACGTAATTGCATCTAATTTTATTACGTTTTATTTCAAGAACAAGTAAACATGCACGTTTGATTAGAAAATGAAAGGGCATTCGTGCCCTTGGAGCACTTCTACCAGGGGTGGGATAGGCTAGCACATAGCCAAAAAAATGATCCGACACCTAGGAAAGTTTGTCCAGCCCAGCAGATTGCCTGGCACTCAGCCCAAGCTGGTCTCCAGGCTAGCCCAAAATTGATAGACCTTGGGACCGGCCCATCTGACGCCAACGTGGTGTCAAAGGGCAAGGAGCCACAGAGGGAGAAGGAGGGAGAGGAGCTCATCGCTGCGTCGATCTTTTGTACAACGGGAAGCTCCTGATGCAAAGCGACTTGGACATGGTTTCCGCAAGACTCGATATTCATGCAAGAAACCTATTAGAGGTTTACAACGCCGACGTTTTGACACGGCAGTTCACGATTGTCATTTCGAGGCCCAGCAACGGAGCTTGCAGAGACGACATGAGGTTGTCTGCAAGGATTGTTTCTGTTATTTCTGGGTTTCGTTTGTACAAGGTTGTTCTAATAGCAGCCTGGATTATCGCGTCGTTGATTCGGGTTTTGGATGTGGGAGTGAGGTTGGGAAAGAAGAAGCTACAAAGAGCTTACAGAGATTAAAGTCAGAAATAAAAATAAAATAATTATTTTAATAAAATTGACTAGGCTATTTTTTGTTAGGGGTGAAGATACTTTGGTCTATTACTGTTCACTGAGTGGATAAATGGGCTAGATGTTGGTGCATTTTTTTAGGGGTGAAATTGTTCTTAAAGCTAATCAAAGGGACTCCTCATACCTTTGTAAATCAAGAGGGATATGAGACTTTTTGTATCACCTGTCAAATTTAGCAACTAAACATACTATAGAGAGACTATGATGACTTTAGCAACTAAACATGCTGTAGAGAGACGATGATGAGAAAAATTTCGGTAAAAATATCATTCTTACATTGAATGGAACTACTGTGACATGAAGTCGAGCATAATCAAAATTTAATCACGTGGACATCTTTTGTGAGAAGTAAGAAGTATCCAAATAATGTAAGACAAATTAATGAAAAAAATTTGAAAACTTTGAGTTTTAACGATAAAAACAAAATAAATGATAAAGTAAATAATAATAGATTAATTTTTTTAGTATAAAAATATAATTTTTTATTAAAATAAATAATACCAAAAACTTTTGGTTAAAGTTTTCAATAATGTAACTTGGACATCTTTTCCAGGTTTGTCTCTAAATTTCAAAATTTTACCGGTTTTGATATCTTGACTGAAAACTACCTACCGCCAACTCTTGTACGGTCCCAGACACTAGCAAGCAAGTGATACAACCAATTACGTCGTGCACCATAACACACTGAATCATATCACCGTGTAAATATGCAATTGTGATTGCGGAATTGGGGAAGAAATTCTACGCTACGCGGGAGAGTATGTAAGTTCAATACTCGCTCCCGCCATTGCACACGAGCGAGACAAGGATGAAACGATGCACCTCACATGGGGATGTCGCATCCGGAGGGAGCGAGTTTAACATACTCGCACGAGGACAAATGAGGTGAGCGAGCAATCTTTATCCATGACCTGGCATTTTGGTAATTTAACGTCTCAAAGGAATATGATTTTTCCTTTCATTGACAGTCCATCAATGACTTTAGCAGCAGAGAGAGAGAGAGATAGAGAGAGGGAGAGGCTCGTCGGAAACAGTGATAAGGACACATGCCTGATCACTCATTGGACGGTCAAGATTCGCTTCATGTTCTCCATTAAGTCACGCAGGGCCGTCGGATGAGAGGTAACCAGGGTTAGTCAATAACAAAGCGGGGTTGGGTCTGGTTCGTTCTGTTGGTTCTCTCCTCATCAGAGTTAAAGGCTTTCACTTCAACACGGGTTGAGGTTCAAGCTTGAGCCTTTGGGGTTGAGGCTCTCTCTCTCTCTCTCTCGTTTTTTAGAATCATAAGATTTTCCGTTTTGTTAATAATTTCTATTTCGGGAACTCCTTGTAGATTCTGAGAGATCTACGGCAAATATTATTCGTCTGTTTTTTTTTCCAGGCCTGTAATCATCACTTTTTGATTTCCAGATGATCACTCATTAGAATCAAAACAAAAAATATTTTCCTTTATTTCCTTCACCCTTTGTTTTTTTTTTTCCTTCTCTCTATCAATGCAGATCCCAGCTCAGGTGAAAGGGATGATGTCAAATTAGATTTTCAATAAATAAAAAAAACCAGATCTTTGAATATATTTAGATCTGCTGATGTGGTCTCATTCATGTAGTTTTTTCTAAGATTCTCTTTCAAAGGTTTGGGGTTTTTGTGTCAAATTTTTTCACAGATTGAAATCGAGGACACAAATCTTGCACACGGAGAGTGAGAGAGATATGTGAGGTGAGGGTAGTTACTTGTTGGGTTTTTCAATTCATTTTTTGGGAAAGTTGATTTCTTTTGGTTGGATTTTCCTTTTGACATTTTTCCCGGGAAAGTGTGGGGTCGAATGGTAAGGACAGAAGGATGAATTACTTTCCGGACGAGGTAATCGAGCAGATATTCGAGTCAGTGACCTCGCAGAAGGACCGAAACGCGGTGTCGTTGGTGTGCAAATCGTGGTACAAAATCGAGAGGTTCAGTAGGGAGAGAGTGTTCATCGGGAATTGCTATGCAATCAGTCCGGAGAGAGTGATCGAGAGGTTTCCGGGGCTCAAGTCCCTGACTTTGAAGGGAAAGCCTCACTTCGCCGACTTCAATCTGGTTCCTTACGAGTGGGGCGGCTTTCTGCAACCGTGGATTGAAGCTCTCGCCGACGGCCGGGTTGGCCTGGAGGAGCTCCGCCTCAAGAGGATGATCGTCTCCGACGAAAGCCTCGAGCTTCTTTCCAGGTCCTTCCCCAATTTCAAGTCTTTGGTTCTTGTTAGCTGTGAAGGGTTTACCACCGACGGCCTTGCTGCTATTGCTGCCAATTGCAGGTGACAATATTTACTTCCTTTTGTCGATAACTTATAAGATTGCTAATTTCGTTTATTATTTGCTTAATCTGGATTTGTTTTGTTTTGTGTTGTGTTTTTGTTCTTGCTTTTTTGTTTTACATGCTCAAATGGAGTTTCTATTTACTAATTTTTTGACTAATTTGCTATTTAGACCCTCATTTGACCGACTTATTTGTTCGATTCTTATGTATGGATTGGCGTTTATTCAGCAACGTTGAATGCAAGTGTTGTTATCTTCAATATTTGTTTCATATTGTGACCTTGTTTTTGGTTTTTTTACCAATCTGGGCCATCCAATTTTGTTCTCTTTTGCATTTTGAGTGTGCTGCTTATGATATAGTTAAGTGCTCCCCATGATTCAAATTTATTACTTTCTACATCTTTGCATAATTCATACTGTAAATGGTTAATGGGACATCTCATGTTTCTTCTTTTCATCAGAACATGTATTATTTGCTTGGACATCTCGGGTTTCTTCTTTTGACTGTTTTGTTTTCAAATTTTAACCATGTTTCTATGTTGTGAATGTGAAAGCAGTTGTATGGAGCAGTGTGAAGTGTCTCTAGAGTCTACATCCCGATTATCTAAAGTTGTGTTTCATGAATACTTTGAGTTTTGCCTGTCATTTGTGTGCTCTTAACTTCCTCCAACGTTTCTTCTGCGTAGGCTTCTTAAGGAGCTGGATCTGCAGGAAAATGATATTGATGATCATAGAGGCCATTGGCTAAGCTGCTTTCCTGAGAGCAGTACTTCATTAGTTTCCCTGAATTTTGCTTGCCTCAAAGGTGAAATTAATCTACCGGCTCTGGAGAGACTAGTGGGGAGATCTCCTAACCTCAAAGTCTTGAGGTTAAACCGTGCAGTGCCTCCTGACACTCTTCAGAAAGTATTGGCGCGAGCGCCTCAACTAGTGGACTTGGGAACTGGGTCTTATGTTCTGGATCCTGATTCAGATACCTACAACAAACTCCAGGCGACTGTTGTAAAATGTAAATCAATTAAGAGCTTGTCAGGGTTTTTGGAGGTTGGTCCTCGATGTCTGCCCTCTATTTACCCAATATTGGAAAACCTGACATCCTTGAACCTCAGCTATGCTCCAGGGGTTCATGGCAGTGAGTTAATAGAACTAATTCGCCAATGTGTGAAGCTTCAGCGATTATGGGTATGCTCGTTTTGTTTTTGCTACAGAAAATGATTCTTACCACAGCTTCTTTACCGAAAAAGAAAAGAACTGATTGATAATCTTTTCTGTTTTTATGCAGATTCTGGATTGTATTGGAGACAAAGGACTAGGAGTTGTTGCCTCGACTTGTAAAGAACTGCAGGAATTGAGAGTTTTTCCTTCTGATCCATTTGCAGCTGGGCATGCTTTCGTAACAGAAGAAGGCCTTGTTGCCATATCTGCTGGTTGCCCAAAGCTTCATTCGTTGCTCTACTTCTGCCAGCAGATGACTAATGCTGCTCTCATAACCGTGGCCAAGAACTGCCCAAACTTTATACGTTTCAGGTTGTGCATCTTTGACCCCACTAAACCTGACGCTGTTACCATGCGGCCCCTGGATGAAGGTTTTGGGGCAATTGTCCAGGCATGCAAGAATATTAGGCGTTTATCGCTCTCTGGCCTTTTAACCGACCGGGTTTTCCTGTACATTGGAATGTATGCTGAGCAGCTTGAGATGCTGTCTATTGCATTTGCCGGGGACAGCGACAATGGTATGCTTTATGTGTTGAATGGATGCAAGAAGCTCCGGAAGCTTGAGATCAGGGACAGCCCCTTCGGAAACGAGGCACTTCTAAAGGACGTGGGAAAGTATGAAACAATGCGATCCCTTTGGATGTCGTCCTGCGAAGTTACCCTTGGAGGCTGCAAGGCACTAGCAAAGCAGATGCCAACACTGAATGTGGAGATCATAAATGAGAGTGATCAGGTGGAGATTGGCGTCGATGATGAGCAACGAGTGGAGAAGATGTACCTCTATCGCACCCTAGTGGGGAAGAGAAGGGATACACCGGAATTTGTGTGGACTCTGTAGGTGCATTTTCTAGGTTGTCAGTTTTTTCTCTTATTGTTTAACTAGTTTGTACTTTGGTTAGGCCAGTTGATTAGTTGATTTTAGTTGATGATGAGTTACTTATAAGGTGTTCAAATTCAGAGAGATTGACCATTGTAATCTATGCTGCTATAAATAGATTCGAACCAGTATATCCAATTGTCCTGTTATCAATATCCTCGTGGTACCGAAGCCGATTGAGTCGATATCCTTGTGGTGCCCGAAGGCGATTGAATCCGGTACTCGTTTTGGCGACCAGATGAGATATAATGAGCACGGCTAGCACCTGCCACCTGAGACTTGGGAGGAGCTAGACAATAGAAGAATTCAAACGTAAACAACTGTGTTCCTATCCTGTATCCAGTATCCAGTATCCAGGCAGGTGGATGATTCATGAACATCTAAAAAAACACACAAAGAGAATAAATAAACAGTCGAGCGATTCATAAAACCACACCTAAAATCTGTAGTCTTTACGGCTTGCAATTCACATGTCTTAGGGTAGAACAATGCACGAAACAAGAATATAATATAAATCATTCCAAAAGCCCCCTCGAGTCTTAACCGATGAATACACTTAGATGCTCAAATTTATGGAAGTGGCTTCAGAAACAAATATCCATTTTCAATATCATCAAAAGAAGCAGCACTCCTCCAGCAAACAGCAGCAGCATAGCGCAGCCAAACTGCGCAAGCAAAAAAAACAACCATTTAGTTCCCTCCCTTATCATTTGAAAGAAATAATTAGCAAAATAACAACTTGAAGATCCCACATGATAGTATAAGCATAATTTAGCAAACCAAATGCATGATCAAAATATATTCGAGATTAAGCAAAGGAATCCTGTTTGCGTTAACGGGAGCAAGTTTGACATGTATTTGGCTTGAAACTTCTCACACATTATTTTAGCTATTGTTCATATCAGCTCAGAATTTGGGATAAGCCTAAAAAGGTTACGAGGGAGTACCTAACGCCTAGGGAGTTACTAACGCCTTGACACAAGTTAAAAACTTTTGTTCAATCCTAGCACCTGGCTTCTTCTAGACGAGCAATGTCAGTGTTCATGATTTGACAGTCCAAGATTAAACCTTGGAAAAACTACAGAAGTGAACACTGCCATTATTCATTTGAAATGCGTATATCCTGTAGGAATGTCCGAGCATTATTACATGAGGACAAAAAGGCAAAGCAACATTCTGTATTCCTGTCTTCTGAGAAGAATATCAGCTGTGCACGAGGAGAAAAAACTTTCTTACAACCAATGCACTATCATAATCACATCACCTGTGGCTGTCTAGTAAACGTTTACCAGATGTTCAAAGAGTGAACCACCTGTCCATAAGCGCTTGCCACATGATGAATTGGTGACATGAGAAAATCTCTCGTGCATAAGATTTGGAGTAGGACAACAACTAGTGATATAGCTGTTGTAAAAAAAGCTAACTGGGAAAAAATATACCAACTTACCAAGCCAAGCCAAAAGACAGTATAACATGTAGGAAAGCTTGAGGATTCATGCTAGAGGCTAGATAGAGAATTTACTAACTAAAATACATGGACATTCTCCTATCAAAATTCAAAAGCATAAACCTTTATTTATGCACAGCACACAACCATTAATCCAATTCAAAAGTTGGGAGCTTGGCAGTAAATTAGATAAATTTTAATCAAGTTCCAATTGTGTGTGTAAGGAACAAGGGAAGAGAATCTGAAATGAGCGGGTAAAGAGTAGACGGCAGAGATGGAAGATTACATACCAGCCTCGTAAGAAAGACATACAACCATCTTGCTCTTGGTAATTGTTATGCTCGCAGTGATAGTGCTCGTATTGCTGCGGAGGAGGAGGAGGTGGCGGAGGGTACCCCTGATTGAAATAACCTTGGTACCCCTCGTACGGCGGATCACGCGGCGGCGGCGGAGGACCGTATCCGTGAGGATACCCAGGTGGTGGATAGCCTTCGTAAGGTGGAGGCGGCGGCGGTGGGTACCCTTCATACGGCGGCGGTGGCGGCGGAGCTGATGGGTACCCCGGCGGCGGAGACTGATATCCTTGATTACATAAAAACAAATAATAATATCGATCAGTAAAAAGTAATTGAGCAATTGAATTGAAAGGATTTGAAACTCTGAAAAGGAAGCGTGTTTGTTTTGGTAATACCTGGAGGAGGGTAGGGTTCTTGGGGAGCTTTCTGGTAACTCATCTTCTCCGCTGGCTCCCTATTCCTGCGGTCTGTGGTGGTCGGATTGCTTAGCCTGAACAAAAGATTTAGGTGAGAATTAATTAAGATAATCGAATATCCTTATATAGTAACCGTGGGTCCCAGACTGTTTCTAATCATGTTCGACACGTTTCTGTGGGCTGGTTGATGGGTGGGTCCTGTCATTCAACGAAACGATGCGAGGTTAACTTAAACCCATCGGCATTTGGCGGGTAGATGGATTAGTTAAACTTAAACCCATTCTCTTTCTCCTTGGGCTTTCTGTCGGGAGATAAAGCTTGTGATTTTCAAACCTCAAAAGCCCAATGTAGAAAAAGCCCACTATTCAATTGCCTTGCCGATAAGCTTTTTTGATACAGTATTTTATGAACTTGAAATTATGCTTTTACGACCAAGAAGAAACACCGCCAAATTCAATTATTGTTGTTAAAAAAAGATGTTTTAAACGACAATCTCAAACATGTCACTTATCCCTACTACTTTTATTTACCAACAATTTCAACTCGAGCAACGATGGATTGCAGCATCTGAAACGATATGGGTTTTCTTTATTGTTCCTTTTTGTTTTGGCATATGAGATATCTACCGACAACATGAAGCTGTGGATAGGGGTGGGTTTAGTACGGTTACCGTATCAAAATTTTCGTACTAATTAGCGTACTAAATTTTCGGTTTGACAAAATTTAGGATAAATTACATTTTACCCCCTCAGATTTGGGGTCGATTTCAATTCCTTACAACATCTTTAAAATATTTCAATTTCATACATTTGCTATCATTTTACTTTAATTTCATACATCCATTAGAAAATCCGTTAAGTTATGACGTGGAAAATATGGGATCCACATTTGTGCTGACGTGGCTGGCACATTTGTGCCATGCAACTAAACACTTAATAAAAAATTTAAAATATTAAATTAATTAATTAATAATAAAAATAAAAATAATAATAAGAAACCCCTTCACCTTCCCCATCCCTTTCTACCCACCCGAGCAGCCCACTCTCTCTCTCTCTCTCTCTCTTTCTCTCTCTCTCTATTCCCTAGCTCCAAAAATCCAATCTCCCCCGCAACCTCCCTACCCCACCCAAAACCCCAAAAAACCCAGATCGATGTTGATCCTCTCCGAACTCGTGTATGCGATAATCCCGACGGAAGAATTGCAGGGGTCCATGGTCTGAGCCAGAATCCAAGGTACTGGATGGAGATGCACTTGTCGTCCTGGGCACCGCAAGTAAAGATGAGGCCCTCCGGGGTGTGGTGGGTGGAGAAGGGAGGGTGGGTCCATTTGTCGGGCTCGGCGGGGATGGAGTCAAGGTGGGAGTTGAGGAAGAAGGAGGGGAGAGAGGGGTGGGACCCATGCCAGGTGAGGAGGAGGAAGGGCTTGAATTTGGACTGGGTGAAATGGAGGGTCTAGATTTGGAGGTTTAGGGTTTGGGCGATGGCGATGAGGAAGGCGACGAGGGCATCGTAGTTTGGGTTGGTGTTGATTCGGAGGTAGTTTTGGAAGCGGCCAATGGGGGTGTCGTTTTGGTGGTTAGAGTGGGCCTCGATTGTGGCGAGTAGGTGGAGGAGGAGAGGGTTGGACATGGTGGCGGCGAAGATCATGGGAGGTGGAGGGGTTTGGGCTCGGTGAAGGTGAGGGGGTTGGGGGAGGGAAGGGAAAAGATGGGTTTTTGGGTTTGTTTGGTTTTTTTTTTAATTTAAATTTAAATGGGGTAAATATTATTATATTTTAAACGCACAAAAAAAAAAAAATTTGCCATGTGGCACAAATTTGTCAACCATGTCATAATTGAGGATCCCATATTTGCCATGTCATCACTTAACGGATTTTCTAACGAATGTATGAAATTGAAATAAAATGATAGTTCATGTATGAAATTGAAATGTTTTAAAGATGTTGTAAGGAATTGAAATCGACCCCAAACTTGAGGGGGTAAAATGTAATTTACCCCAAAATTTATTACCATTACCATACCAAACTTTTGATATACTGAAGTTCGGTATTGCCAAATAGTTCGGTTGGTATGGTATAACAATGGTAATTGCCACTTTGTTTTGGGACAAAATCTGTTTTTGTTTTTTTAACACAATTCAAGGGTGAAACTTTTTTTTTTTACCTTTATCTCATACATTGTAGCCTAAATTCATCTATTATTCATCATTCATAATTCAAACACAATAATTCAAATGATGCATCAAGATTCATGAAAATTAAGCTTATAATCCAAATAGAAGTTATGAACCAAAACAAATAGAAGTTAAAAACCCAAATAGAAGTTAAAGTTTCAAACCAAATGAAAATTGAAACTAAACTTCAAAAAGTAAAATTCATTGATCAATTATTCAAGCTTGAGATGTGGAATGTTTTGGAGGAGTCATTGAACTTGTAGAAGATTGAGCTTATGTCAAGCCTACATTACAAACAAAGAAAACATATTAGTAGCAAGAAGAATTAAAGTTGTAAACAAATTTACTAAAAAAATTAAAGCATATCTTACTTGTTTCCACTTCTTCCATTTCCTTGTAAAATTGAAGCATATCTTCCGTTTGTTCCTTGTAGAAGTTTTACTTCAACCGTCATAAGCCAATCACTAGTACACATTAATGCCTCTGCCATTTTAGGAGTCAAGGATGCCCTAAAAGGGTTCACCTCCATATGCTAAATGCATTTTCACTAGCAACAATAGAAGCGAGGGTTGCAAAGATATCATTGGCTATTTGTGAAAGAATTGGAAACTCTTTGTGTTTGATTTCCACCAACTCAAGAGATCAAAGTCACCAACAACAATCGTAGTAGGGTTTTATTTTCAAATTATTGGAATATTATAAATATGTGTTTTATAATTATATATTATATAATTTATAAATTACATATTAAATTATACTTTTAGAACGATACGGTAATACAGTAGTATGATATCCATTACCTACACCGTACCATAAAATTTTGGTCTGGCACAATACCATACCATTATCTATTGGCACAAAAAAATTTGGCATAAAATCAGCATGGCACAGTTGGCCTGGCAATTTGACAGAAAAGTCCATCCCCAGCTGTGGAGTGTGGAGGGTTGCATTACATGGATGAAATATCTTATCTAGAAGTCATAACTGTTGAAGAAAATTATAACTTATTGGCCTTAATAACACGGTTAAGCAACTTCCTCCTCCTCCTGAGTCAACCTTTTCGCTTTCACGGGCCCCGCAGTGACCAACTCCTTTCTCTAAAACTTGATCTTGTATCTTACCCGAATAATTAATTAATTAATAATTCATAAAACAAATACACATGTTTCTAGAAAGTCTTCAATCACCTCCCGTATCTGACATTTCAATTTTCAACCTTTATTTTTATTTTTTATTGACTATCCCATCCACTAAAATTTTCCCGTGTATAAAAAAGGTCTCCCAACCATTCAAAAGCACTGCAATTTTCTGCAAACCACATCGATCGCATCCAAATTCCAATCCAAGAAACTCTCAGTCTCACACCACAAAATCATACATTTTACATTTGTTTTGCTATTTCCTTTCCATTGCTCCGAGCCAAAATGAACCACCCCAACAACCAAGCATCCCAACCTCCCCTCTACCCCTCCGCTTCTCCTCCCACACACCAAGACACAAACCCTTTTCTCCCAACACCTCCCGCTGAAGACATCAACCCTTTTCATCAAACACCTCCGCCAATGCCACCATCCTTGTCCGAAGAAATACCTCCTCACGATGCATCCTCACCGCAGAATGCTGAAACCCAAGAACCAAAACAAACTACTCATGATAAAGATATTCCAACCTCATCAAGCGGCTCATCTCCTCCGTCAATCCCACCAACTCCAAGTGAGGAAGAAAAATCAGCGCAGTGGGGAACTCACGTCATGGGGCACCCTGCCGTCCCAACTAGCCATCCGGACAACAAAAAAGCAGCTCTGTGGGGCGCTGCCGGAACCGAGCAAGCCCAGAATCCCTACCTCCAGTACAAACCCCTTGACAAGTCCAACAACACCAGTCCAAAGGAATCCATACTCCACGTCTTCAACTCCTGGAGCAACAAGGCCGAGTCCATGGCCAACAACATCTGGCACAACTGTATGCATAAATATTATGTTTCTCATCTCTTATATGTCTATATATGTTACTTTTAACACATGAACTTATTAAGTATCTAAGTGTTGTGTGAACTGCTTCTTGAGAAAGCGATTCTGCCCTTAAGTCTTTTCGCCAGAAGTGCTTTATGGAAATCACTTGACATGTGCTTATCCTGGCACGTCAAGTTTTGCTAACAAACGCAGTTGGAGACGTTTTTTTATTGTAGAAAACAATTCTAACTATTCCAGAAGCACATAAATTTTTAGTGCAGGACGTCTTGTCTGTGTTATGGTCGCATTAAATTGATACAAATTAACTAACATCTAAACTAATTTGATTGATCGATGATATCATGTCAGTGAAAACGGGGACATCGGTGTCTGGAGCTGCGTGGGCGAAGATGAACCTGACTGCCAAAGCAATAACAGGAGGAGGATTTGAGGCTCTGTACAAGCAGACATTTGCGACTTATCCCAATGAGAAGCTGCATAAGTCATTTGCCAGTTATCTCTCCACATCCACAGGACCAGTTGCCGGAACTCTTTACCTCTCTAATATCCATACAGCTTTCTGCAGCGACCGCCCTTTGTCCTTCACCGCCCCCTCCGGCCAGGTCACCTGGAGCTACTACAAAATAATGGTACCATTGGGAAATATTGCAACTATCAATCCAGTAGTGATGAGGGAAAATCCAAGGGAAAAGTACATCCAGATTGTGACGATCGATGGCCATGATTTCTGGTTTATGGGTTTTGTTAATTACGAAAAGGCGTCGAGGCATTTGACCCAAAGTATTTTAACCTTTGTGGCATCTGGAGTTGCCGTCAAACCAGCCGTTGCTGCTGACAATGACATTGCATACCAGAAGCCTGACAAGGCTGACTATTAGGAGAGCTACTAGTCTCTTGTTAATATTTTATTGCTTCTCTGCTCTGCTCGTGAAATTATATTGTCTTGCTTTTCTTTTACAATTTTCAATTC